AACTGCGCACGTCTGCATAGAATAGTGGGTCAGGCTCTAGACACTAGTCAAAATCACCGAACAACGTTGTTCGGTGTCAAAATAATCAAGGATTAAAAAGAAGAATGTAGTATTTTGTCAAAAACAAAACAAATGTCACTGTTAAACAAGTAATTACATGGTATCACACGTGTTTAGGAATTACTTTTAAAAGCGATGGTAAAATGAATTAGTTAATATTAAAGGCACCTTTATTCTTATTTATTTTTTATAGGATGTCCTAAGTCGTCCAGCCGAAGAATTTGAAAATGACCAAACAGTGGAAACTATGTGGGCTATAAAAGCCTTTGAACATGCTGAAGTATACTTTAATGTAAGAAGTATAGTCAATAAGTTAGCACTTAGATATTAAGGGTGAAGCAGCAAAACTTTTAATTTGAAAAACTTTTCTTTTTGGTTTTTTTTGGAAAGAAAACATTGGTGTGATGTTTGGCCTATTTAGATTTAATATATAACAAGAGATAGTTGAGTGTTATTTCGTTTCTTTTGATATATTGTTCCATTTTCTTTGTAATACTTGAGTATAATGTTTCAGATTTTAATAGTGGTTTTGGTTAGAGCAAATTGGATGTTTTGTAACAAGTTTTTTTATAAGCAAAACATCCTAATAGAAGTTATTATTTAGATTGGTGAAATATAGTCAGGCACCAAGAACTGTGAAGTGTCTTCTAGACAAAACCATATTAATTTTATAGAACATACAAAATGGAAGCATACATGACAATTTCTAAATAATACAATCCTTTATTTATCTTTTTTCAGTGACTCTGTCAAAAAGATCAAAAAAGCATAAAACAAGGCAAACTTTACACTAATCTTTGATAAAAAAAACTTATTCATTATTCATATAACTTAACAAATTTACTTTTGAACAATGTGGTTTACCTTTAAGCTCTTTGCAAGATATAATATTAATAATTTGCATGCATTTTAGATTTTATGTTCAGTAGATCCAAAATTGCTCAAATTAACCCCAGTAGATGATTTAATTTATAAAGTCTTCAGAGAAGAATTCCCAAAACTAGAAGTTGAAGTAATAAAAGAAAATGAATTAAAGAGTACAAAAGAAAAAGGAAAGTGGCGACCTTTTTGTGAACGATTTAAGAATGTTGTAGAAGATTATAGTTATGGTACCTTACTGAGAGCAGATGCCAAAGATGATTATAAAGAGGACAACACCATATTAGTTACTAGGATTCAATTTTATGCCATTGAACTGGCTAGGAATAGGGAGGGAGTCAATGATGTTCTAAGGAAAAAGTTCTGGCCTGAATCTAAGGAAGAGAAAGAGGATTAGGAAGTATTTAATAAATCTCAATTTTTATACATTTTATTTTATTTATAAGTTTTTTTTGTAAGTCAAAAAATAAAGTATCCTTAAGATTTTCTTGATAATCTGTAATTTTATTACAAATTTATTTTATTGTATTTGTCTCAAATTGAAAATTGGGCTGTAAAAACATGTCTGCCACATATTATTGAGAAATCTAAAGACTTCACTCATGGTTATAAAGAGTTTTTAGAAGCTGGATACAAAAAAATATAGTTACTAGATTAGGAGAATAAAAAAGGAAAAATTTGACCCTTGGTTTAAAAACCACAAATAAGTATTATATACATTTTACACCCTTCAAACAAAGATTTTCTATAAAAAAAAAATCAATACACAATCTACAGACTGGCCTAGATGGATTTAATGTTCTATGAAAGTTTCATATCTCTATTTTTTACTACTAGAGATATTACATTCCTATAGTGACTAAAAACATTTGCTGGTAACTATGTTGGCATTTTTAAAATCATCTCCAAAAGTCTGTAAACATTAGTAAACCTACTAGTTTCGCCATTTATCTTGTCCAACTCCAAATACTCAGACAGGCAAAGGAAGAACCTCATCTTCTCAGAGAGTGTTATGAAATGACAACTGAGCAAGTAAATTCCAGCTTGCAACTGGTGCTGTATCTCGAACAAAGGTGTGGAATGGGCAACTGGGCAGATGAATGTAGACACCTAGGTAATATCTGCGAAATGCTAAACCAGCCAACATTCATATATAGGTAAATATACTAACATCCTTCCCAAAGTGACTGAATATGTAGTAAAAGGTACATGAAACCATCTCCAATATTTACCAATATAAGTGAAAAGATTTGGAACTTCTAGTTAACCAAAATGGTTTAGTGCCAACTTATGGTATTTAATTTTACAGAAAAAAATTTGCTTACAAAAAATATTTGGCTTCCTGTAATCAAGAGGATTACATGATTTTCTCAGAACTGAGATTGTGTAAAGATTTATCAAACCAATGATATAAAACACTGATCTGAATCAAGTAAATCATATTTTATGCAGTAATTGTAAGTACTTCTGGCAGTTTTTAAATAGTAAGAGTATCAAATGGTTTACCAGATATATGTGTTATGGTAATGTTATAGCAACAATTAAACAACATATTGAAAACTGTCTCTGTCAATTTTTCAACAGTTTCTTCTCACTTTCTGGTTTCTAAAGGAAACCAGAAATCTTTTATACCCAATTTTTTAATATCAGTGAAAGATATTTTCAACATTTTATCCTTACCTAATAAGTTGGTCCATATGGTATTCTTGATTATTTTCTAAAGAACTGTATTTATCCACTAACTAATCCTTATACTAACATCTTTTTTTGAGTCATTAAAGACATCGCTTTTCCCAACTTTATGGAAGCATTCTTATATCCGCCCAATTTTTAAATCAGGTAATAAACGAGACATAACAAATTATCGAAGTGTGTGTACCAAAACTTTTTGATATAACCAATTAAAATTTTACTGTAAAGAACCACCAATATGCAGTCAACATGGATTTTCTCAGAAAAATATTAATCATGTTGGGAGAACAAAAGTCAGATGAATACTACATATTTATAGTGACTTCTCCAAGGCACTTGACACAATCCTAAATATATGGTTTAGCAGCTTTTTAAGAGACTGCTCACAATAAGAAAGTGAGATTAGCTTGTTTTAACCCTCCGTTCATCGGGTGTGGTCTGTGAGTCTACGACAAAATAAAAATTTTGGATAATTCTCTCATTTTATTTTTTAAAATTTCTACCTTTTCAGTACCTTCCTAGAAACTAAATACTATTCGTTTTTTTTTATACAAAACTGTTTTTGAAATTTCTAAATAGCTGCTGCATGGCCGTTTGTCCTGACAGACCCCACCCGATCAAATGTGTAACAATATTTGCACTGCTTCTTAGTTGTATTTTTCTTGCAATCTTGTTTCACTTTGTAACCATGTGCATTTTTGTGAAATGGATTATTCGGTTGTTCCGAGAAAATACATGCATTTGGCAACGATATATGACTGCCATATCATATATACCGAAGAAAGAAAAAAATGTGATTGCTGTTACCACCGTGCACAGAGATGATTGACTTGATGAAGATACTGGTGATCAGAAAAAACCAGAAATAATTACTGTTTATAATTCCACAAAGAGTGGAGTAGATGTTGTAGACAGAATGATCACATCATATAATGTTTCCAGAAATAAGAAACGTTGGCCAATGGTAGTAGTTTATAATCTCCTTAATCTCGCAGCAATTAATGCATTGGTAATGCGTTACCGGTAAAGTTAAAGTGTCAGAAACAACATTTTTCGTGTCTTGAAGAAAATTTTAGTAATAATCCCAGGGAATTTTGGGGATACATAGGCAGACTTCGTAAATCTTCAAGTTACCCCCAAGAAATGTATCTCGGTGACAGAAGGGCACAAGCAATATCGAAATTGCTAACCTTTTTGCTGAGTTCTTTTAGTGTATATGAGAAAGATAAAGGTGCTCCCATTCCAGATTTTGAAAACTGTGTCAGACACATTGACCCTGTAAACCTAATTCAAGTTGACATTATATCAGTGTTTGATGAATTAAGAAAACTTCCAAACAAATTCTCCTTGGGGCCTGATGGAATCCCACCGGTATTATTAAAGCACTGTCCATGCTCTCTTACTATGCCCCTAAAATATCTTTATAATTTATCTTTTATGACTGGTGAGTTCCCTTCTTTCTGGAAAAATATTGTACCCGTTTTTAAGTCAGGTAAAAGAGAAGATATTGGAAAATACCAAGGAATTTGTATACAGTCAGCAATCCCAAAACTTCTCGACAAGCTAGTGACTTCTCACTTATCAAAACTAACAAATAACATAATAATACCCCAATGGCATGGCATTCAAAGGGGGAGGAGCACAGTGTCAAACTTGTTGGTCTACCAAGATGATATATTGAGTGTCTTTGGGAGGAAGTACCAGGTAGACAGCATCTATACTGACTTCTCAAAGGCATTCGATAAAGTAAATCATTGTTATTTAATCAGTAAATTAGCAATTGGTATAACTGGCAAATGGCTTGATTGGTATGATAGTTTTTTTTGTGGGTAACACCCAGAGCATTAAGATAAATGGTGTGTTATCTCAATCTGTTGACGTCCTCTCTGGAGTACCACAGGGGTCACATTGTGGTCCTCTTGTTAATGATGTTGACAAAGTCATGAAGTATTCAAAATTTCTCAACTTTGCTGATGATAAAAAAATTTATAAAGTGTCAGTATGATCAAATTCAGCTACAAGAGGATCTCAACAGATTTAACAATTGGTGCAAACTAAATGAATTAAAATTGAACATTGATAAGTGCTGTGTTATTACGTTTCACAGGAAGCAAACAACCTTACATTAGGATTATACCATTGATAACACTCAGCTGTCTAGGAAGGACTGTGTTAAGGATTTAGGTGTTTATTTTGATTGTAAATTAGCATTTCGTAAGCATCTAGAGGGCACAGTAAACAGTGCACTCAAACAATTAGGGTTTGTAACTAGTCAATTTTCATGTTTTGTTTTACGAATTCTTTTTAATAGTCTTTCCACCAACAGTGGAATATACTTTTTTAAGAAGGGGAAATTAAACATTAAACTATAACTTTATATTATTTTATTATTAAAAATTACTTATTACACTTAAGATGTTTCTACAGCTGAGGCAGCTGATTCTTCAGTGTATTTTCCTTTGTCTTTGCCCAAAGCAGCCAAACGTCCTTTGGCTCTTCTGTCAATGATCTTCTTTCTGTCCTTGTCCATTTTAAGCTTAACAATAACAACCTGAAACATAAAATAAATAATAATAAGAAAAAGCTTTGATTGCTCAAGAAATATATGTAATTTTGTTAGAAATCAGTGCCAAATTTTTCACCAAGGTGTAGCTGAAGTAAGAAAGTAACATCGGTATCCTAAAAAAACTTCAGGAACTAACGTCACAATCTAGTTCAAGGACTACAGTCTACGAATGGTTTAATTCATCATGTATGTTCAAAAGTAACTAACATAATTGCAGTTTGTCTATTTAAAACATATTTGAGTTACTATTTTTCAATTTATTCAGTAAATTGATCAAATAATGTGTATGTTAGTCAAAATTGGCTACAAATGTTAACATCCTGTTTTAACATTAAATATATGGTTAAAAAATATTCATTTTATACTTGTACAATGGGATCTTCTTATGCTTTTCACAGAACAACTATTCTTCTAAAGCAACATGGACATCAAAGTCTCAAGATATACCAAAAATACTTTATTTCCAATCTACTAGATATACTGGAAATAACTTGGATGTTATTTATTCTCAAGTTATTATATTGATTAATCTGAAACTTTGACTACAGTTTTTTTATAAATATTTTAATTTCTTTTTAGGTAATCTAATTTCTAATACTATAAGCTCAGTTGTCATAAAGCTGAAAGCTTGTAGATTTTACTATAGCAAAAGCATTATGTTAATTCCACTCACATAATTCTGGAATTATTAAAATTTTAGTAACATTTGGACCAAACTTATATAGTAGAGGATATGTAAGGGATCTTAGTGTCAATTTGTATAACAAATCCACATAAAGCCAAGATCTCAATGCTTTTTTACAAGAACCAGACTCCTTAAATAGCAATTTAAAATCTTTAAATCCACACAAATCATAATTACATACAGTTATTGAGTAAAAACATGTGGTCACTTACTTTTGAAGGGTGGATTCCTACATATACACTAGCTCCATTGGCCTTTTCCCTCTGAATCCTTTCAATGTAGATAACGAATTTCTTTCTGTACACTTGTACAACTTTACCTACTTGTTGGCCTTTATAGTGCCCCCTTACTACCTACGAAGCAGATACAAATAAATTCTTTTTAAGAATTAAATAATGTTCACACATATATTGAGCAAATGCTATTAGATAAATAAAAACTTACTTGTACTTCGTCGTCCTTGCGGATTGGCATAGTGCTAACATTGTACTTTTGTCTAAGTTCTTTAGACAAGGGAGCGGACATAAGGGTTCTTCTGATGTGGGATGGGGCTGTGAAATGCCTTTTCCTGTTTTTGCTTCTTGAAGCGGTTACTAATTTGTTGAATTTCATTTTGTAAGCTGTTCCTTAACCCTGAAAACATGGGGACTTGAGTTTGTGCAGGTTATGTTTACGAAAACTGTAAAAATCTTTCTGTAGAATTAATAAAATAAAAAAATACGGGAATAACTGAGATGATTTAGAATTATTGAAAAACATTGTAACAGAAAATATTGTAAAAATATGGCAAAGCACTAAGATTAAACAGGATATTTAACAAAAGTAAAACTTACGACAACAGCTAAAGAAATTTTTGATGTAAAAGAAGTGTTACCAAGTTTGCAAAACAAAAGTTAGAGATTTTTGACATTGACATCTCTGCTTTTTCGTACGGTCTTGTACTTTTTATTATTCTGACACAAGTGGTGCTTATTATTATTACACAATGTTGTATTGTTGGTTATCTACTTTAAACGTTGTTTTATAAATTTTATTTTATTATATTTGTTGAACAAAAGAAAACGATTAAATACCGATAAGAATTACATAATAATACAAATTTACATCACGAGTTCATGTCAGCATTCACGAGTTCATGTCAGCATTAAATAAATGTATATATTTTTTTCACAGTATGGAATATTTCAAAGGAAAATATGTTTTTATAACAAATTGATTTTATCTAAAACTATAATTGACAGCGATATCACAATCAATTATTATATCAAATACATTTACTTTCAAAGGTTGAATAATAATGGCGAGTTGTTCTGAATATCATCATGAAATGTGATAGTAAAAATCCTTGCGATGATTTTTTCAATATTTAGTTTATAAATGACAAAATAACAACAACACAATAACGTACCTGAAGACACGAAATAGAAACCAGTTTTCAGGAATTAGAAATAGCCATAAATTCACTCAAAAATAGAAAGTCACCAGGACCAGACGGAATAACCAACGAGCTTCAAAAACACGGAGGAGAAAGTATAACTCTAGAGATGACAAAACTTATACAAAAACTAATATTGCACTACAAGATACCAGCCGCATGGAGAAATAGCATAATGATACCATTGTTCAAGAAAGGAGATAAAAAAGAACCCAACAATTAAAGAGGTATAAATTTACTGAACACCGCACTTAAGCTTACCACAAAAGTCCTAACAAACAGAATCAATAAACTAACAACTTTATCAGATGAACAACAAAGATTCAGATCCGGAAGATCCTGCGTAGACGCCGTATTTGTACTAAGACAAATCACAGAAAAGACCATCGAGTATAATACACCAGCATATCTATGTTTTATAGACCTGACAAAGGCTTTCGATCGCATCCAAGTCGAAGACGTCTTACACCTACTGTATAAAAGAAACATAGAAATCAATATTATACAAACCATCGAAAACATCTACCAGCATAATCGAATACAGGCAAAGATAAATGGAAAACTAACACAGTGTATACCTGTAAAAAACGGAGTCAAACAGGGTGACTCGTTAAGCCCACTTCTCTTTAATATAATAATGGACGAAATAATACAAGCAGTACGTAAAGGTCATGGCTACAGAATGGGGAGCAAAGAAATCCAAATATTATGTTGTGCAGACGACGCCGCATTAATCGCCGAGACAGAAGACGAGCTCCAAAGATTCACACACATCTTCAATACAACAGCTAAGAAATACAATATGATAATATCAGCAGAAAACCAAATGTATGACAACATCTAAATACCCACTACGGTGTAAAATCGAAATTGATGGGAAAATAATAAAGCAGGAAGCAAGATTTAAATATCTGGGAATAGATATAACTAGTTACGGAGATGTTGAAGAAGAAGTACGACAACAGAGCTTAAAAGCAAGTAAAGAGGCGGGATCTCTTAATGTCAAAATCTGGAAGAACAAACATCTAAGACAAGACACAAAAATAAGAATCTATAAGGCAGCAATTAGACCTATATTAACATACACGGCGGAGACAAGACCTGACACATCTAAAACGGGACGACTACTAGAAAAAACAGAGATGACAATACTCCGACGAATACTAGGGAAAAGTCTGTTGGAACAATGTAATTGAACCTTATGGAGAAGACGTCGTAAATGATAACAGAGACTTATCAATCTCTGTGAAAATAATAGACTCAAAATAACTAACGGATATTACTGTCACAAAAACATACACAAATATACATGGTTTCAACCAACAAGGAATCTTAAGTCTATAATAGATTACATGATAGTTAAACAAAATTCACAAATACTCATTAGAGATATTAGAGCTATGAGAGGAGCAGTATGCGGATCTGATCACCACATGGTCAGGGCAAATTTTTTTTTCCCATATAGATTAAAGAACAGTGTCTCATTAAGCCAAGATTATTAAGAGAGAACATAATATCAAGTATTCATCAAACAGCACAGGAGGTCTTAGGAATCAAACAAAATAAAATTAGTAACAAGCTTTGGTGGAATGAAGACGTCGAATATGCGGTTACAGAAAAGAAAAGATTATACCATAAGTGGTTGAATACAAAAGATGACGCAGACAAAGACCGATACACTGAAATGAAGAAGAGAACTAGAAAGATAATTATGACCTCCAAAAATGAGACATGGGACAGAAGGTGCAGAGAGAGAATCTTATATTAGAGGACGACAATGCACTGAGGCGTGGAAGTTTATAAACTCTGTTAAGAAGCCGACTAACGAGAAAGTGATTCTAAATCCCATAAATCGCGAGGATTGGACACATTATTACAAACATCTATTAAATGAGAACAGAGACGAATTTAAAGAAGATATGAATTCATCAAGAATCGAAATTCTGGGAGAGCATATTACCATAGATATCAACATAGTTCAAAAAGCTATAGTAGGGATGAAGAATGGGAAAGCAAGTGGACCAGAGGGAGTAACTACGGAATTAATAAAGAATGGCTCAGAGAAATTACACAGAATGATCACGGTGATATTTAACGAATATATTAATGGACATCCAACACCAGATGAATGGAAAACAGCATATATGAACCCAATATATAAAAAAGGTGACAGGAGAAATTGTAAAAACTATAGAGGGATATCGGTCACAAGTTCAATGAATCGACTATACGATCGAATACTACGGGACCTGATAGAGGAAGATTATCAATCGTCTGAAGACGAAGAACAAGGAGGATTTAGAGCAGGTCGTTCATGTACAGATAACATCTTCGGTCTTAAACAAATTATAGAAAAGAAATTTGTGACAAATAGAGAGTTACATATGACTTTTGTAGATCTTGAGAAGGCATATGACACAGTCCCGCTAAATAAACTATGGGAAGTCCTGGGCACATCAAATATACATCAAACATTGGTTACTGCTCTCAAAGATCTATATTATGGTTCAAACTCACAAATGAAATTCAGAAACCTCTTAGCTGAAAAATTTGCAGTTACTAAGGGTCTCAGACAATGATGTTGTATCTCTCCGATTCTGTTTAAGATTTATATCTCTGCAGCTCTGAAACAATGGAAAAGGAAAGTCAAAGGAATGGGTATACAATTGAACGATCAGGACTGCATATATACTTTACAGTTTGCAGATGATCAGGTGGTGATCTCAAATGACAAAGACGACATGGAATACATGCTTAGAAAACTAATTGAATAATACCAGAAATGGGGATTAAATATCAATTTAGAAAAGACAAAATACATCTCAATTGGAGCTGAAGCAGAGCAACTGGATATCGATGACAATCAAAAAATAAATTCATGTGACGAATATAAATACCTGGGCGTTATCTTCGACCGTAGTGGAAAAGACGAACGAGAAATAGAACATTGAATTGTACAAGCACGAAGAGCTATAGCATGTTTGAACGGAGTTCTATGGAGTAAAGAAATATCAAAGAAAAGAAAATGGAACATCTATGAGACAATGGTTAAAACTAGCCTACTTTATGGAGCTTAGACATGGAGAATAACCGAAAAATATAAGAAAAAGGTCGAAGCCACGGAAATGGATGCCATCAGAAGATCGATGATAATATTATGAGCCGACAGAATACGGAATGAAGTGATAAAACAACAAATGGGTATAAGATTGCCTAAAAAAACGATGATATGGCAACCCCCGAGAAGAGGAAACGAGGAAGACCACCACAGAGCTGGAACCTGGGAGTTAGGAAAGCGATTAGCGCTCGAAATCTGGACGAAGACCTAACTCAAGACAGAATACAGTCAGGAGGCTTTTAGAGGACGGTAAGAGATTTAAACCATTTTCCTTCAAGCTTATACCAAGATCAACGACAATTTAAACAATTTAGAAGGCTAATATTAAAGAAAAAACATGTTTTAAAACCTACATACAAAAAAAAAGAAGAAGAAGAAGAAAAAGTATATACTCCCCAGAGTATATATATTTGTGGTATATACTCTGCCATCGTTGAATGTTGAACCAGAGACGTTTGAAGAAGCGCAGAAAAATGGAGAGTGGAATAATGCAAATTCCACTCAAGAAAAATGGAGAGTGGAATGCTCTCTCCTTATTTTTTCCAAAAGAAGAGAAGAATTGAATAAAAAATATGAAGCATTTGTACATTTCAATAAAATATAAAAATTCAATTGCAATTCCCCTTATAAATACTTCGTACCGCGCCTATGTTACTTTTAAGAATAAAACCAGTTTGCTATTATTTTTGAGACTCACACGCCACACGACTTCCAGCCGAGAAACTCAGATAACAAAAGAAATTAGTAGTAACACCAGCCGGACACGGTGGAACAGTGTAATAAAACCCTCTTCTATTAAATAACCCAAGAAATATGAATTCTCTCACCAGACAGGTAAAATTCCTTGATTTCATATAATATAGCAAAGATTTATGATTTAGTCTCAGTTTGAAACAATTTGTTTTATTTTGTCTTTTGATTTAAAAAATCATTTCATTTAAAATATTTTTGTTAAAACATATTGATGAATTTTAATTCTGTAGAATGTATGTTCACACCAATAAATTATATTATTAAGTAATAAGAATAAATGATAGTTTCAATAGTGCAATTTATCTAAACTGTTTTTTCCTACAATTATTTGATTTATACAGATTGCCGATTTATTCTTTTGCAAAAGAAATATTCAGTGGTCATTTGCTGATATTAAAAGACCTTGAGAGTTTAATTGGTGACCGAAGCCAATAATAATCAATTTAAATTTGTTTGAAATTTGTTTTTGTCGTTTAATTTATTGCAATATATTTTTTGATATGATAGGCAGTGGCGAAGGTATCCGACAGGGTGGAATGGAAGAACATTGCTAAGCAGGTCAAGACTCATGAAGGGTTGTAGCGCCATCATTAGAAGAATAAGAAGATCTCTTTTGGTATTCTTTTTTACCATATTCTCAGGTTTAGTTTCCATAGAAACTGATTTCCAAGGTCTCTTTATTTCAATTCATCTTGTATTTGCTGGAGTATTTGTTCGTTTTATTGTTTTAGATTTGCCATTAAATATTCGTTATTAGGAAAACAACTTTGTTTCGTTTATACAGTATGTTTCAGTAAGTTTGAACCATTTGAAAAACTGTATTATTAATTTTCGAAGAACTTACGGTTTATCATAAAAAAATTGCTGGTTTAAAAAATGGTTTAAAGCCCAAAATATCGAATTTTTCCAGTCCTATACGAGGTGCATCAAAAATATGTGTTTTCTAGATAAAATATTTGATTACCTTCATTTAACGCTGTTCTTTTGGTACTTTTCAAACTTTCTAATGAAATCATTTTTTTTTCAGTTGTTTAAAGCTGCCAAAAAGGTAGGAGCGCGCAATTTGAGCCTTTCAGGAGTAAGGAGACAGGAACCACAGCCTGCCGAAGTGAGTGCGCAATTTGGCAGGGCACCACTAACACATTTGACTGAAGATGAACAGGTCATGAAAGACACAGGTATAAATATTATAAATATTTTTCGTAGTTGTGTAATGTTTAGCATAGTTCTTCCCGTGGCCTTTTTTTCTGTGTGTTATGTTCATTATCCCATGCGTGTTTACATAGGGTTCAATAGAATAATTCGAATGTAGTCCTAAAAGAAACGGATGGTAAAAAAAGAAAAATCAAAGAAGCGGCTCTAATTATGCTAAATGAGGCCAATTGTGTCGCAAATTCCTCGGCAAAATGTAGTAGGATCTGGTTACCAATATTGAAAGAGGAAGTTTTAATAAGAAAATACCACTATTAGTAAGTCAGTAACATATAGAGGATACATCATTTATGTTTTTTTTTTAAATAACGTAACATAAAATCAGAATTTTGATGTTTGTTGAAGGTAAACTAAATTCACGAACAAATACTTACAATGTCGGGATAGTATTATGAGGTTTTTTTCCTGGTTTTTCCCTCATAATTTACTATGGAATCACTAACAGGAGAATTTTACTGTCATCATGTCATGTGTTTGTCTTTTTAAAGACGAATTACATGCTATGATTTTTTTCTGACGGATATTGTCAAGTTAAAGTTGATTTTATGTAATCGAATGAACTATCTTATAAGTAAAGTCGTCCCAGGAGCGCAACTCAACAATATTGGCAATATCATTTTAAAGTCGTCTACTTTAAAATGCATAATGTATGTCTGAATTGTCAATATAAATGAGTCAGATAAAATTAAATTATTAGAAGAATTTTTCACTATGTAACAAAAAACAAAATTTGTTTAATTTACTGTTTGTATTTTGAGAACGATTTCCGAAGTGGAAATTGAAACGTCAATAAACGTATTTTTATCTTTAATTGTGGCTTATTCCCAGTTTAATAGTATTTAATTTACAATGCCACAAGAAAATAGCTTCAGAACAATACAAAGGGCAATGATGACACATAACCGAATGTTTTAGATGTATAGATCGAGATACGGAGAAGCGACATTCATACAAACGAGAATAGAGGTGGACTACTCCAGATTATTCTAGTAAATAATGTTTTAGTATAAGTATAAATGCGGCGCTCTCATTAAGCGAGTTAGTTGATAAGAGAATCTCTCTTCAATCCTGACCCCCCAGGGGGAGTGTAGTGGTCGACGTGATGTCGTGTATTGTCCGTCTCCAGAGATCTCTGTCTCTGGTCATTTCTTTTAATTCATGCATAGGTCTTTGGCATATTCCTGTAATTTGATCTATCCATCTTGTTGGGGATCTTCCTCGTGATCTTCGGCCTTCTACATTTCCTTGTATTATGAGTCTTTCCATGTTTTCTGCGTTTGCTCTCATAACATGCCCAAAATATTTTAATTGTTGGAGATGGACTTTACTAGAGAGTCGTTGGCTAACTTTTAATTCTCTTAAAATTGAATTATTTGTTCTACGGTCGGTCCAAGGAATTCGTAACATTCGTCTCCAACAGAACATTTCAGTGGCGTCTATCTTTCTTCTCTCCGATTGTCTCAGAGTCCAAGATTCACATCCGTAGGTCAGTATTGGGAATATTAAGCAGTTGATCAACCTCATCTTTATCGCTCTTGAAATTTGACAGTCCTTCCATATTTTGGTCATTTTTGCTGTGGCAACTTTTGCTAGATCACATCTACGTTTAATCTCTTCTTGTAATGACCCTGTGTTTGTGATTAATGATCCCAGATATAAGTATGAGCTCACAACCTCGAACCGGTCAATTGTGGTTATGTGTGGATGATTGTTGTGTAGTCTATCCACTATCATGATCTTTGTCTTTGATATGTTTAATTGCAGACCAAATATTTGACTTTCGTTTTCGATCAGTCGTATAAGTTCTATCAGCTCTGCTTGACTATTTGTAAGAAGGGCTGTGTCATCTGCGAAACGTAGGTTGTTTAGTTTATGACCATTTATTGAGATGCCCTTTTCCCATCCTTCAAGTGCTCTTCGCATAATATACTCCCCATATATGTTGAATAATTGTGGAGATAGTATACATCCTTGTCTGACACCCCGTTCTGGATGAAATTCGTTCGAAAGTGTGTCAAGTACTTTAACTGATCCAGTAGTGTGTTCATATAGTTCGGTTATAAGCGTAATTAGATAATGTGGTACGCCTACTTCTTTTAGTATTCGCCATATGTGTCTCCACTTGACCCTGTCGAACGCTTTACGGTAATCTATAAAACAGATGTATAGTGGGATGTTGAATTCCTTAGATTTCTCGATTATCTGTCTTATATTCAGCAGGTGTTCTCGAGTGCCTCTACCTTTGGTAAATCCAGTTTGCTCTTGTGGAATTTCTCTTTGAAGGAATGTTTTCAGTCTCTCATTGATTATATGTAGCATTATCTTGCTGGCATGGGATATAAGAGAGATAGTTCTATAATTGTCGCATTTATGGAAGCTGCCGTTTTTATGTATTTTATGTAACTTTACGCCGGTTTCTTCTGTGGCTTTAAGCATTTCTGCTGTTATCATATCTGGACCTGGTGCTTTGTTATATTTGAGCTTGTTGATAGCCTGTCTTACTTCATTTTCGAGTATATCACGTTCTTCTTCCACCTCGTCAGAGATGTGGCTAACAAGCTCTTGGATTTGATCATCTTTATATAGGTCCCTGCAATACGATCTCCATGTCTCTGCTATGTCTTCTCTGTTTGTTCTCAGGTTTCCAGTGGTATCTTCAATGGCTCAAGTTCTGGCTCTGAAGTCTCTTGTCAGGTAGCGTATTTTTCTAAATAGATCTCTCGGCTGATTATTCTGACCATGTCTCTCAATTTCTTTGCATATACTTTGATAGTACTGTTTTTTGTCGGCCTTACATCTTCGTTTTATTTCTTTGTTGAGGTTTCTTAAACTAGCTTTTTCCTTTCACTATGTACACCACTTTTACAAAGATTTCTTCTATTCTCAATTATTTTAAGAGTTTCATCTGTTATTCAGTGTTTCCGTTTCACCGGATTATTTTTCTTTGAGCGATCACTGGTGTTGTTACGCAATGTTTAACAGTCTCCCATATTTCTTGTGATGTTCCGTTACGAATAGAGGGCATACTTTTCTGTACTTCCTGTAGAAGGTCTTCTTTCTTTCTTAGTTCTATCCTCTTTATCTCTCTTTGTTTGTTGGGTGCTTTAAGTTTAAGCATTACTTTAGCTACGAGGAGAGTATGATCGGATCCGCATATCGCCCCTGGATATGATGTGACTGTTTGAATGGACGATCTCCAGCGAATATTGGTGAGGACGTAATCTATTTGATTTCTAAATCTATCTCCAGGACTTTTCCAAGTATAAAGTCGACGTACATGGTGTTTAAATCGAGTATTCATGATAGAGTAGTTGTTTGTGATAGCAAATTCGATTAAACGGTCTCCTCTTTCGTTTCTCTGCCCTATGCCAAACTTTCCCAGTACATTCTTTAAGTCGTCATTTTGTGTAGTGTTGTCAACTTTTGCATTAAAGTCGTCACATATTATAGTAAGTTCTTTATTTGGTATATTAGCGATTGTGGTCTCCAGTTTTTCGTAGAACTCCTCGATCTTTATGTCATCTGATGTGCTGGTTGGCGCGTAAACTTGTATGATATTAAGTTTATGTGGATAAGAGAATATCGTATTGTAAATAAACAGTTTAAACAAATTGGAACCACTCCTTTTATTAAACACTTTATATTATTGTTACGATCATTATTTGATTTTTTGTTGTTTTGAAAGGTTATCATGTTTATTTTTTTCAGTTGCCCGCTTGGCACAGGATCAAATCGCTCCTTACGTCCGGGAAATGGAAAATGAAGGAAAAGTGAAAGAATCCGTATTGAAAATGTTGTTCGAAAATGGGGTATGTACATTTGTTATCAGATTTCAAATACACAAATTAATAAGTTTAGGATTATGCGATAAAATTCTTAACACGTTCAGCTCCGTCTCTTTTTTAAGGGAAAACAGTGGGCCACTGAGACGTATTTGTGTAAACTAATTAATTTTTAAGGTACACTTTAAAAAGTCATTTATAATAAATATGGGTACAAAAAAAATAATTTGGTCACAAAAAAAAGTCGCGTTGGTGGCCACAGGACAGAAAATATGTCGGTTGAACTTAAAAAAAATAATAATAATCTGATTGAGAAAATATATAATTATGAAAAAAAAAAAAAAAAAAAAAAAAAAAAGGGGTTAATCTTTGTAAATGGGTATATTTATTTAAAAAACCCAAACAAACGTTTTCGGACTACACAGTCCATCATCAGGTTATTAAAATCGAAAATGCCTAAAAATAAGTATAAACCATTTAGTTAAAACAAACGAGATTTTGAAATTTTGACTAAGGTTGAAAAGCAAAAGATGGTTATACTTACTAGGTCATAATGCCTGAGCCACCAAAATATTAGGGTAAAAACCTCGATTTTAAATTCAATCACATATGTTACTACTTCAATTTCTTCAGCCTGTAGATTTCCATCTTACTAAACTTAATTTTATTAATTCTTCACCATAGGAGCATTCCTAAATAAAGTCATTTAAACATGAGGTCTGATATTAGCTTCAAATATTTGTTATTTAATTTTTACCTTGTCCTAGATGTGTTAAACATAAAAGGATAAATTTCACAAATACAAGCTAACCCAAAAATTAAATACACTTTAGACCACATTCCATACGACGAAAAGCAACATAAGTTGCCTAAGGCACAGGTCATTATATTAATCATGACTATAAAACCATCATTGATTTGACATCTTTTATACCATAAATTAATAAATAAAAAGTTTTTAAATCCCAACACCTAGATTGTTGTTATTTTTAAAATCATTAAAACTTGTTGAATCTTTTGGCTGTAGTAATACTATGTACAACTTTTATAGTTTTTGTTGCATTGACATTCTGTTATCTTCATCTTTCAAAAGTATCTTGTCATTCTTGTCAATCAGTTCCACGTTGTTCTCCGAGTGCAGAGGTTGTCTCTCGCCCGGCTCTGGAACCCATTTGAGCCATGTGTTACCTTTGGTCAAATTTAATTTAATATATAACATCACAGTTATTTTATAACACAATGTACAACATTTCATAACTAAATGTAATTTAAAGGGTTTTTACCCTAATATTTTGGTGGCTCAGGCATTATGACCTAGTAAGTATAACCATCTTTTGCTTTTCAACCTTAGTCAAAATTTCAAAATCTCGTTTGTTTTAACTAAATGGTTTATACTTATTTTTAGGCATTTTCGATTTTAATAACCTGATGATGGACTGTGTAGTCCGAAAACGTTTGTTCTATTGATGTGGCCCTTTTAAGGGTTTTTTAAATAAATATACCCATTTACAAAGATTAACCTCTTTTTGTTATACGTGGTATACAGCCAGCTACAGGAATTTTTTCCTTGTGGATTTTATATAATTATGAACCTAGATAACTAACATAAGTAATTACTATAAATGGCAACAACATCAAGAAAACAAATTAATTTAAATATCTAATTTTTAATTTCTTCGTGAAACCGTCTAAAATAATTTTCTAAGCAAAATCCCTGATCCCAGGATGTTCAGGGCACTCCGCACAATAAAACAGTCCTTTCTTTCCTTATTAGTGTCAGCAATATTTACACCGTCGTCGTTTTGTAATACCATTAGCTGATTTAGGGCAATGGGATGGCAAATGAAACGTCAAATTTTTCTTGACTTGAGGGATTTTTGGGTTTGGTCCCAAAAGACTATCAATCACCGACAATCGAAAGTCGTACAATGACATTTTTGTAGCAGAATTATTATAGAAATAGTATGCGTTGATTAGCATAATTTGCTATGTCACTGCCACCTTTATTTTTGTTATATTCAGCGACTAAACGGGGATTTTCTTTATCAATTCCTTTCCTAGATATTGTTGGAACCATTTCATGAGCAAATTCTGAAGAGATCATTAAAATATCTCGCTGATCTTTACATTTACATACATACAGGTCAACCTAACGTTGGGAGTTAAACTTCTTGACATCTCTTCCTGTCTTGTTTACGCAATCAAATAACTCTTGAGACTATCGCATAAGATAACAGTGTCGCATAAGATAACAGTATCTTTACATTTACATACATACAGGTCAACCTAACGTTGGGAGTTAAACTTCTTGACATCTCTTCCTGTCTTGTTTACGCAATCAAATAACTCTTGAGACTATCGCATAAGATAACAGTGTCGTCAGCGTATCTAAATTTACACCCTACTAAGAATTGATCTGTTCCCACTACTTCTCCCCTTATTTACAATTATATAACCTATTATACGTCTTGCCCCTCTTGTCCCCCAGGTGTATTTGTTGATGACTTGATTGTCTTTCTCGCGAAAAAAGTTATTAATTAGCATGTTCCTCTAACATATATTTTTTATTGGCAGCTTATGGGTATAGAAATTGATTCGGACTATGGCGGTGCAGGATGCAATTTCATGACCACTATACTAACAGTCGAAGAAATTTCAAAAGTCGATCCCGCCGTAGCTGCCCTTGTAGACATCCACAACACCCTCGTGAACACTGTGATAATAAAATTAGGTAACAAACAGCAAAAGGAACAGTATCTACCAAGGCTAGCTACAGATATGGTAAGTACATTAAACTTTAGATGTTTTTACTGCAGAATTCTTATGAATACATATAGGCCAGGGAAATAAGCAAAAAAGTACCCTGCTTGTTGACACTGAACTGACCAGGCAAACGATAGTTATTTTGAGTAGTATGAACCGCTACAACAAGAACCTTACGAAATTAATGTCAAAAAACGGTAAATTTTCGCCTTTTTAAAGTGAAGCATTTGAAACAAATTTAAGATTAAAAAATTATAGAAAAGTCGATTTTTTGGACCAGATTTTGAAGCTTTGTAAACGATTCCATTAAAATGCAATCTTTTTCGAATTTTGCACATTAAAACTTTAAAGTATGTTTTTGCAAATGACGATACTAAGATGTTTTTAATTATTATAAACAAATCAGCAATAAATTTAAAAAAAGGGCTATCTTCGTTGCAAATTGTCCTAGAACATTTTTTTCTTTTAATTTGAGAAAAAATGCAGGCTTTCTAAATATGAAAATTATAATTTTCTTGCAGGCAATGGTTTAAAAGTTATTCTAATTGTTTATATGCCAAAAATCAACATGTTTTGCAAAATTATTTTGTAATATTTAAAAGTGTTTTTCTTCATATCTTTTAAATGATATTAATAGAATAAGTTGTCCTCTCTCAGAATCTGTCCGTATAATTAATGTAGCTACATAATTTTATGACTTGTATTCTTGCAAAAAAATGTAATTTGGAATAAACATTGCTTGGGAAAGTATGTACTATTCCTTTTCATATTTTTATATTGAATATTTTTCTTTTAGTGTACTATAATGTGATCTAATTCAATGCTATATTCTAACGACTTTGTTAAAATATATTGCTTCCTGATATTTCGTAAAATTGTTAAACTGGCTATCTCATTTATTATGTTTTAAATACGGCTTCTCTTTTGTATTTTGGGTCACAAATATAGAAATAAGTGTAAGGTTTCGTATTACCGTGACAATTAACTTAAATTATCACCACTCAAAATCGTCCTACAATAGGGTTGATTTATGGCATGCTCTTGCCTACGAGCTGTTGACCACCCAACGGTTAGAGGGTGGTTTTTTCGTTGTTTCTGCAATACTGTAAAATATTTGTAGTTTCTTTGGATTTGTTAACTTCTTAGTAGAAATTCTTTACCTCTTTATTTATGTTGGCTTCTTCTATGTTTTTCAATTGCTTTTCTAGCTGTTCTCTTTTTTTTTCTGCAAATTATTTTCACTTCCCTTCTTTTTGCCACATAAGTTTTCGATCGCATTTTGGGTGTTTTCTTTATCTCTTTGTAGTTTTGCCCTGTCTCTTCTTGCCAAAACATTCCTACATTCTTCATCGAACCAGTCTTGCCGTCTTTTTATATGCTCTCTTCCTCTACGCTTTTCCGCTGCTTCCGACATGGCTTTCTGTATGGTCTGACACTCTTCATCTATATCCTGTTTGACTAGATTCTCTAGTTATTTATTTATTTCTTCCTCTAGTCTGTTTACAACCTGCTTCTCTTGAAGGTGCTCTAATTGGTAATTTAATCTATCTCTAACAGGTTTTGGTATTATTGGTAGTTCTTGTTTTAGTTTTGCCATTATTAGTGTATGGTCACTGTTGGTATCTGCCCCTCTGTAACTTCTGCAATCGATTATTGCCTTATCATGTTTGCTTTCAATTAGGACATGATCTATCTGATTTTTTATTTTTCCATCGGGAGAAGTCCATGTTACCTTATGAATGTCTTTGTGATCAAACCTTGTGCTAGCTATCTTCATTTTGTTCTCTGTAGCAAATTCTATTAACTTTTTCCCGTTTTCATTTGATTCCTTATGTAAACTTCGTTCCCTTTTATTCTTCTATATATATTTCTCTTTTCTGACTTTCGCATTCATGTCACCAATGATTAGCATTACCTTTATAAAATCTAACAATTAAAACATAAAACACTACAATGAAATAACAAATGATTGTAAAGAAATAAAAATTCGCAAACCACCGAATTATGCCAGCTATGACGTGAATTTTCAAAAAAATTAGTAATTTCAAAACTGGAGATAATGTTTGTTTGTTTAAAAATTTATTATTCGCTCCGATGATGAAGTAACTTGTTATTTAAATGATGTTGTTAACAAGCATAATTGCCGGTGTTAATCTATACACATGGATATTTCGGAACGCACAAAGTGTTGCTCAACATGTTGATTAAATGAATGATGTAAATTGTAAATAATATGAAAAATTCGAAAGACATCGATTTTCTTTTCAAAGAAGAGACTTTTAGAACATATTTTTAAAATAACAAAATAAATTTATTTCAAAAATACAATGAGCAAAGTTACGTGTTATAATTTTAATTATAGTGAACTTAAAACTTAAATATAATGAACCAAAATAATGAAGAGCGACAACGACAAGTGGTTTTATGCTGACTCAGTGGGAACGTGTAAAAGTTCTCTGGTGTAAAAACCTTTGGTCCTGCTGACTCTGCTGGTACTGCATGTGCAGGGATAAGGCCGGAACCACACATGGGATCCAATGTTGGCGTCAACGTTGGGTGAACTGTGTTCGTTTGGTGAGGCATCAGGCCAATTTTCAACTTGGACACATTTTTGTTCCCAGAAATTGTTTTTTGCTTCTTTTATTTGATTGTGTACTTCTCCGTTTTTTATTTGATATGTTACTCTATTGCAAAATGTTTTATTTGTTAGCTTCTTACGTTTTCTATCATCCTTATTCGTGGTTCGTGGTGTTTTTTGTCGTTGTTCTCTGTTCCTAATACTTGATAAGCAATTTTTTTATTATCGTTTTGAGGTTAGTGTATTCTTGTTCTACATCAATATTTCCCTCCATAACATTTAGTTCTTTTTCTAATCTAGATTGAAAAGGATGTTTAATACTTGGTTGGAATAAAATTTGCAATTTATATCTCTCCGTTTTGTACTGTTTAGTATTATTTCTCTCACTTTCGGTGTTTTATTTGTAGTATTGTTTAAAGAGGCACAAAAGATTAGCTAAAAGAAAGTAGTGAACTGTCCTACAGTTAGATCCTCTTTTTACTCTGCAGTCTTGGCACTAATTTGATTTCGTTCATTATTATATGTCTATGATCGCTTCTGTTGGAGTGATGGTCCAAGTGTATTTATGAATATCTTTATGTTAGAATTGAGGTATTCATTATTTTTAAACCAAAAAGTTTAATAACTGTTAACCTTAAAATTTTAAATGGGAAGGGGGTATTAGGGCACATCATTTTAGCGACAAAATCAAATAGAAATTACAAGCGTTCGGTAAACAACAAAGTGTTATTAAAATCATTCCAGATATATTAATATTATTTAAGATATATTAAAAGAGTATAAAATCAACAAATATATTATCTTAAGTCAATTAAAAATACTTTTTATAGCAAGCAAATCTTGTGAAATAAATTTACCATGGCGAAATCATAGCAACAAACGTAACGTTGACGTTAGCTTTTAATTAATTACTTAACTATAAATAAACCAACTTTAAATCTGTTAAATTATTTCTGGAAGTTAAAAATTTCTTAATAGTTTATTTATTTCGAATTAACAATAGTGACCTTGACATTTTATGAAATGTATCAGTTAGTAACGACTCTTATCTTCGTGTTTACATTCATAAATAATATAATTCGGTAACCAGGGGTTCGAAAGCTTTTTAGAACGTTTGTTAAATGTTTTTGTGGTTTTGAATCACACCATTCCTTTTAATCGCATAATACCAGGATCGATCGATAAATTAGTGGTCAAACATGCAAATTTGAAGGAACATAATCACTTAGCTTCTTTCTGCTAGTGCTTTTGTCTTGCTTATACCACTATAGATGTTATGGTATTCCTGTTTAATTAAAATTATGGTTTTTTTTCGCAACTGCTTTTCTGCTCTTTCAAAAGCACGTTCGATGGGTGAAAAACTATGTCCGCGTACAGGGAAATATAATAAAATCTTTTGGATCGATGTTTTTCGTCCTACAGTCCTTACAGTCCTAACAAAACTTCATAAGGAAGGTATTACACTAAATGAAAACAAATGCTCTATAGCAACAAAAACAGCTAAACTAAATACTTGGGTCATATGGTCTCTGAGCAAGGGATATTAATTGATCCAGATAGGGTTAAAGCTATCCGTGATTTTCCTGAACCAAAAAATAAGACGAGGCTGTCAAGATGGCTGGGTATGATTAATTTTGCTGCAAAATACATTCATAATAAATCTGAGATTCTTGAACCATTAACACACTTACTAAAAAAATATATTAACTTTTTGTGGGGTCCAGCACAAGATAAAGCTTTCAGCACTTTAAAACAAAAGTTAAAGAGCCCTCCAAATCTAGCGTTTTTTGATACTAATAAAACCATAATTGTTAGTGCAGACTCAAGTTGTTTTGGTATAGGTGCATGTCTATTTCAAGAAAATGTAGATCATACTCGGGAAATAGTGGCTTTTACATCTAGGCTTCTGAACTCAGCTGAAACACGATATGCTCAGATTGAGAAAGAAGCTCTTGCACTTACCTGGGCAGCAGAATATTTTTACGATTTTATTTCAGCAGTTCCTAACCTAATTTTTGAAACAGACCATAAACCTTTACTATAAATTCTGCAAACTAAAAATTTAGATGAGTTAACGCCACGTTTGCAAAGATTTCGAATGCGCTTAATGCAATACAAGTATACTGTAATCTACACGCCGGGAAAAAATTTAATTGTAGCAGATACTTTAAGTCGGGCCCCTTTACAAACAGATACGTTAGCTAATAAAGAACTAACTGCAGAAACTGCAGCATATGTGCAGTCAATTATTCATAATTTACCAATTAAAGATTATTTTTTGAATTTAATAAAAACAGAACAAGAAAATGAATATATTTGTAAAAAACTAAAAGAATATTCTTTGTCTTCTTGGCCTGAAAGATCTAACTTGCCATTTGAATTGTTGCCATACTATCAATATAGATATGAAATTTCCTATTCGGAACAATTACTTTTAAAA